CCCCTGTGACAGTAAATGACAACTGCTTTCACTTAATTATTCCGTCCTCAAAGCTAGGGGTCATCTGTGATTCCTCTTTCTCTTACATACCATATCCAGTCTGTCAGCAAATCCTGTCAATTCTATTTTCCAGAATCTATCCTGAGTCTAATCCCTTTTTACCACTGTCACTGCTCCCGTGCTATTTCAAGCCACCATTATAGCCCATGAAGACTTCGCAATAACCTCTTACCTATGTATGAGGTATAACCCATAACCATTCTTGCTCCATTGAGACTCATTTCCATAAAATGTAAGTCAGATCACACTCTCATCTCAAAATGCTTCAGATAGCTTAGCATCTTAAGTTTTAAGTTCTCAGTGCCCTATACGGCATGGCTCCATGCTACTGTGCATAAAACTCAAGACAGGTGCCCACTCTGTTCCAGCCACATGCCCTTTCATACTTTTCTTTAACTTCACCAGGTAAGGTCTATTTCAGATCTTTTGCATGGATAGTTTTCTTTGTTAGAGACACTCTTTCATCAGTATATGGCTCCTACTTCATTTTATTTAGCTTTCTGCTTCAATTTCACTTGTTTAAAAAGGCTTTTTTCTGCCCATCTATGCTCTTTGTCTCCTATCCTGTTTTACAACTATACTTTATGTTACTTATCAATAATATAACAGTTTATATTTATTTGTTTATTGCCCCACATCTTTCCTTAGCAGGCTTAGAATGTGGGATCCATTTGGGTGACAACTTGATCAGATCTGTTCAATACCTTTTACTCTAGGACATGATAGGTGCTCAACAAATATTTGAATAAATTCAAATGAATATGGAGCTCAGTTTTGGATAATGAATGAAAAAGTCTTCTATCCCCCCCCAAAAAACCCCCAAAAAACACAAGTCATCTGCACATGTCCAGTAGAATCAAACTAACTAAAGTTAAGACTCTTGGCATATAAAACAAACTCAGGATGGACAGAAAAAATAGTAGTGAACCAAGGCTCTTAATGTCCCTGGCAGCTATCCACAGAAGATCAGCAAGAGATACAGCAGGAGCCAGCTTGGCGTCTGTGTGTGACATTAGCCCATATTTCTCCTTCCAGAAAGAGGAAACCCATCCACATAAAGCAAATGAGGTGAAAAAAAAAGCTGACAATGAGCTATAAATTAAATTACTGGCATTCTCATTGGTTTATGCTTGTGCAGAGAAAGGACATTAGACTGGAGCTAAAAGGGGTCATTTTAGGCATTTTTAAAGAAATTAAGTCTGGATTTCTCTCTCTGAAATCTTTTCTAGAAAGAATACACATGCTTATTTTTAACTTCTTTCTATACCTAAATCTTGCATGTACAACTTCACAAATGAACATTTACTTACAGGGCACACGCATGTGCTAAGCTGCTTCAGTCGTGTCTGACTCTTTGCGACTCCATGGGCCATAGACCCCAGGCTCCTCTGTCCATGGGATTCTCTAGGCAAGAATACTGGAGTGGGTTGCCATGCCTTCCTCCAGGGGATCTTCCCCACCCAGGGATGGAACCTGCATCTCTTATGTCTCCTGCACTGGCAGGCAGGTTCTTTATCACTAGCACCACCTGGGAAACCCTACTAATATGGACACCAGGACAAAATATGAAAATTGGTACAGGCTTAAAAAATAAAGGATACGGAAATATTGTACACAAGCTTCTGAAATGACATTGGGGACATTAAGTGGATGAATAGTGAGAAAAAAGAACATGAAGATGAAGTATAAAAGGAAGACAGACAGTCGAAAATAAAATGGTTGAAGTGTAGAACGCCTCAGTGACATACTCAGCTTTAGGGATAAGTTCTAATGAGGATGAATGGCTTGAATCCTGGAGCATAAAAGAGCAAATATTCACAACCTTAAAGAAATCTGTGAAGGAACACAGAAATAGAGGCTTATAAAAAGAGCTGGGAGCTGGGCTTCTTTCCCTTATATTCAACTAACATTGGATTGTGCAGTTTTGACACCATGTAAACTAATTCATCAAAGGACTACTTTAAACAATGCTGTGTGTACCACCAGGAGGTACATATCTGCCAGACTCAGCTTATGGGTGCTTGACATAACATACATCTCACCACTGTCACCAAGATGCACTTTGTGGATCTGAGGCTCTGAATGCAAGGCTGTGATTTTTCTATCTTGAAGTCCCCCTTCCATCTCTCTCTCTCTCACACACACACACGTGCATGTGCAAGTCAACAAAGAAGAATGGAGATAAGAAGTCTGAGGATGATACATACTTTCAAGGTTTTTACAGAAGAATGAAAAAATTCTAACTTCAATTGAGAAATTAAATGAATAATTTTACGGGATCTTCAACAATTATGACTGAAGAGTCCAAATCCTTCATTTCATAGATGAAGAACTGGGACAAAGGAATTATACATAACTTGCCCAACAAAACATACTTAGTTAGTGAAAAAGCTGGGATGGAAAGCCAGACGTCCGAGCTCTGTGGCATGTCCTTTTCATTTCACTAGATCTCCATCTTGGTATCTTTACTATTAATATTAGGATGCATTTATAAGCAAAACAAAACACAACAAAACCAACAGTCCCTTGAGGGAGTAAATATCTTCAATAATATGTTTATGGGTCTACTGGTGCCATGTTTTCAGAACATAGCAGAAAATTTCCTTTAAGAATAGTTTAAGAACTTGAACTACAGAAATACTGAAGAGGAACCATTCACTGGGCTTCTGGAGTCTGTAGCAATCCAATCCAGGGCTGATTTGTGATTATAAAGATGACTGAGAGAGAAGAAAATGTGAAAGGTGTGGGTTTTAGGTTTTGAACATTTTCCCCACTGTGGCTTTCAGTGTTCTTATTCTTTCTTTAAGGAATGAAAACATCACTCTGATTTTGTATCTGAGTGTAGGATACAACTCAGCACCACTAAGGATAATTTTCCTCCTTATTTATATAAAATATGTAATTGCATACTTTATAGAATTTTCCTGATAAATCTTTCCACTACCTAATTAGATTGCCACTGGTTTTAGAAAAAGCCTTCTCAGCTCTAAGGTGTCTAATTTGTCCATCTTGAATGATTCATGTTTCATTTATGAATCATGTTGCATGATGTATAAGAATCTTGTATTAAGTTCAAACACTAAACTCCCAAACATAACAAGTATAAATGGTTCAAATCTAGACCTATCCTTGTCACTGGTGGAAAAAAATTTCATATATTCCTTCAGGAAATAGAAAAACTTTTTGTTAACAAAATGAACACGCATTTAAAGATGATACACAGAATGCAAGAAAGACTTTCAATTTCTTGAAGCCATGGACTGTTTCCTATTCATCATTGAATACACTGCACTTAACACCCCTGGTTAAAAACTAACATGATAATTCTTACTGAGTGTCTACTCTGCTACTCTGGACTAATACCTTTAGGATATTATGTTCAGAAAACAATTCTTTGACGTATTTTTTACCCTCATTACTTTATTCAATCATTAGCCTCATTTTTAAACTGATAATCAAATCTTTATTATTGTTATAATTATCATTATTATTATTATTTAGTTTTAAGTAGGAATTCTATTGTACCATTGTGGTCAAATTGAAACTGACTTTTTGTTTATCCTCTTCTTATACAAGAGGAAACTGAGAAGGCAATGAGCTAACAGGGCCGCAGTGAAGATGTGTTTCCAGATAAATCAACTTTGCAGGGCTGTTTTCAATAATGTTCGTTTCAGTCAATAAGAAAAGAGTCCAGATCACCTTGAAGACTTAAACCACACACCTACATCTTTGTTACTTAATAATGAAACTATAATTTAGGGCTGATATTAAGCCGGGAAGTGCAAAGCAATCATTTTATAGCTGAAAACTCTCCTGTGAATATTGGTTCACCATCTAGAGACCATTTTCACAGCTTATCCTTTGCTTTATGTAGGGAATTGTATCACAAGGGACAGAACTCTTCCGCAGTACCACAATATCACCATTATTATCTCTATTCTGATAAACTCCATCAATCTTGTTGATGAAGCATCACTTACTTTTCTTCCCAGACTTGATATTCTCTTTGCAAGAAACACACACACATGCACATTCCACTTTCTACACTGTTTATGTTTGTCTGGGGAAAACACATAAGAAGGAATAACCTTAACTGAGGCTACTCATGAATTGTTTTCACCCAGGTATCAAAAAATTAGAGGACTCATCTTTAAGTGGGCCTCCCAAATGGTGCTAGTGGTAAAGAATCTGCCTGCCAGAGCAGGAGACTTAAGAGACATGGGTTTGATCCCTGGACTGGGAAGATCCCCTAGAGGACAGCATGTCAACACACTCCAGTATTCTGGCCTGGAGAATTCCATGGGCAATCCCAGACTCCTGGCAGGCTACAGTCCATGGCGTCACAAAGGGTCAGACACAACTGAAGTGACTTAGCACAACACAGCACATCTTTAAGTGGTTGCAGGAAAATTTTAAATAGAGGTGGGGAAATTTGAGTATATTTTTGCAAAATATTTGAAATGAATTAATACACAAAACTTCATGAAAAAGTTTTTTGAGATCAGAACTTATTGGTGGCTCTCAGAATTTTCATGCCCTGATATCCACTCTTCACCACCATTAATCTGAGGATTCAAGACAAGTATGAACCATAAAGTTTTATGTGAAGCAGATTTGGGATCTCTTTAAATTTGCACCCCATGATCTTCATCCTATAATCTTTGAAGAAGTTGAGTAGAGAATTACAGTAGTGTGTACTTTAAAAAAATAACATTGAACAGCATTAAAGTCCCTGGCATAAAGGGGAAGATGGCTTGGTCAGTCTACAGTTGACTGAAAAAGGACTAAGGGAACACAGACACCACCCTGAGTCAAATTTCACATCATCACACAGATACACCAATGCAAAAATAAAACAGATTTCCACCTGAGAATTCAAGAAATGTTCTACCTTCCCCCACACTGGTAAGAAGCCAATTACCACAAGGATGGATAGTTACCCATGGCGAAGAATGGGATTCCCAGCAGGGTGGAATTGTACTTTCCGTCGGTGATGAAGAAGATTCCAGCTGCAGTGATGATGGAGATGCACACGGTGAGCACCCCCAGGAGGCCCAGGAAGGGCTTGCCACGCAAACAGTCCTTCATGGAGCTGGAGAGGGTGGCTGTGGTCAGGATCAGCATGAGGCTCACTAGGACCTTGCTCCTGGCCAGGATGCTGGTCTTATGAAAGTCTCTCCAGAGGCTAAAAGATGCTAATGAGTAGAGCTGGAGGTCCTGGTGCTCCTCCTGGAGCTTCCGCATAAGTTTACAGAACTCATTCTCCCACTTCTCCCCTATGAGGTCTTGAATGGCAGAGCCATAGGTCTGGAGGTAGTAGGTGATTTGAATGGCTCTGGCTGACTTGACCCGCTGGTCCTTGCTGTTTGGAACTTCCACTACCCCGCCCAGCTGGTGTCCAATAAAACTGTTCCTCCCATCCTTAAAAACACAAAAAGAGGAGACTGAAGTTACTAGGGGGATGCAAATTCCAGAGAACAGATTCTTACTCTAAGTGAAGGGGCACAAAAGGCAGAGGTAGGCTCTAGCAGTTGTGGAACAGATGAGGGTGGTGTGGCATGTGATGAGTTTATATTCAACCTTTTGGAGCTCCATGAGATACCATGCAAGATGACTGGGATTAGAAAGGATGCAAAGAGTATCATGAAGTTATACAAGACTCGCCGCATGCACAGGAAAATGTACATATAGATTATGTTGATCTCATCCATAACCTCATTCTTACCATTTCCTTTTGTAATAATCAATTGTAACAACTTTTATGCATGATCAAGTTTAATTATTCAGTTTTGGCCAAAAGTGAAGCATGGCATGAAGTTAACAATCTTTAAAAAATTACAATAATAATGTATTTTTAAAATATATGCTAAACTTTCTAAGGCTAACACACACACCTACATCATTAATGCACACACCTACATTAACACACACACATACACTAGCACACCCAAGCATTACAAGTATCCCTCCCTGTTTATATTTTGGGGGTACAGCTGTGTACTGCAGAACAAGTAGAAGAAAATACTGCTTTTTAACAAATAATTTAATAGCATTGAAATGTTTACTAAATATAATGTGAGCACTTGTTCACTCATTACAACCTAATGCACCACTTGTAGGTTGACCAGAAAACACAGTGGACAGACCCTCCAAATGAGATGTATAAGACTTCAGGTGGGATTGTCAAAAGTCATTTCAATTTCAGAATTTCACATGAAGTAGAGTGGACAAAATCAAGAGTGAAGTGAAAGTCGCTCAGTTGTGTCCGACCTATAGAGTCCATGGAATTCTCCAGGTCAGAATACTGGAGTGGGTGACCTTTCCTTTCTCCAGGGGATCTTCCCAACCCAAGGATCAAACCCAGGTCTTCTGCACTGCAAGCGGATTCTTTACTAGCTGAGCCACAAGGGAAGCCCACAAAAAGAGTAGGGTATTCAAAAGGTGGACACTGAATTGCTTAGCCAGATTCACAGCCATTAATTCTCAACCAATATGCTGTACATTCAGAAAGAAACCCCAGACAGCCATCATCAAATTTTAATTAATTTTGCCACAACTGTCATGTACTTTCATGGCTGTGGGTGTTAGATGGAATATCGAACCCAGTGGCAGGTTGCAGGATGGATTCTGGTTCTGAAAATGTGCATCAGGTCCTGGAGGAGACACAGGTACAAAGGTGAATTTATGTCATGAATAGATTGTGCACTTGCTACATCAGGCAAGACGTTTATCTTGTGAAGATATAAAGGTGTAGAGTCAGAACAGGAAATAGAAAGGTAGTAGATAAGGGCCACAAATTCAACTCTGTGGTCACCACTGCTATTTTTACAGGGCTGTGAGGCGCTGTGTACTCTAGGGACATTATTGTGGATGTGTTAGATCAGATACTTATATCTGAAGTATTTGTTTATATACCAAAGCAGCCCTAGAACTTGAGAATGTGTTGAAACACAAAACACTTGAGAAATTTACAGAGAGTACAAATATTATGCAGGTCAAGAAGCAACAGTTAGAATCCGACATGGAACAATGGACTGGTTCAAAACTGGGAAAGGAGCACATCAAGGCTGTATATTGTCACCCTGCTTATCTATCTTATATGCAGAGTACATCATGCAAAATGCTGGGCTGGATGAAGATCAAGCTGGAATCAAGATTGCTGAGAGAAATATCAATAACCTCAGATATGCAGATGACACCACCCTAATAGCAGAAAGTGAAGAGGAACTAAAGAGCCTCTTGATGAAGGTGAAAGAGGAGAGTGAAAAAATTAGCTTAAAACTCAACATTCAAAAAACTAAGATCATGGCATTCAGTTCCATCACCTCACTGGAAATAGATGGGAAACAATGGAAACAGTACAGACTTTATGTAATTGGGCTCCAAAATCATTGTGGATGGTGGCTGTAGCCACAAAATTAAAAGACACTTGCTCCTTGGAAGAAAAGCCATGAGAAACCTAGATAGCATATTAAAAAGTAGAGACATCACTTTGCCAACAGTCAAAGCTATGGTTTTTTCCAGTAGTCACATAAGGATGTGAGAGTTAGACCATAAAGAAGACTGAGTGCCGAAGAATTGATGCTTTTGAACTGTGGTGTTGGAGAAGACTCTTGAGAGTAACTTGGACTGCAAGGAGATCAAATCAGTCAATCCTAAACAAAATCAACCATGAATATTCATTAGAAGGGCTGATGCTGAAGCTGAAGCTCCAATATTTCGGCCACGTGATATGAAGAGCTGATTCATTGGAAAAGACCCTGATGCTGGGAAAGATTGAGGGCAGGAGGAGAAGACAGCAACAGAGGATGAGATAGTTGGATGGCATCATGGATTCAATGGACATGAATAGTGAAGGAAGGGGAAGCCTGGTGTGCTGTAGTCCATGGGGTTGCAAAGAGTCGGACACAACTGAGACAGAACAACAACAAATATTATTAGTAAGGATCATCAAGAATTGCAAGAAAAATTATATAGTCACTCCATATACCCATTTCCTCCAAACATTTGAAATAAAAACAGTCTATGTCTGTCTCTATTTCTGCTTTGCAAATAAGATCACCTATACCATTTTTCGACCTGATGGACATGAGTTTGAGTAAACTCCGGGAGTTGGTGATGGACAGGGAGGCCTGGAGTGCTGCGATTCCTGGTGTCGCAAAGAGTTGGACATGACTGAGCGACTGAACTGAACTGAACTGATACCATTTTTCTAGATTCCACATATATACATTAATATACAATATTTTTCTAAGTCTGACTTACTTCACTATAACATATGGATACCAAAGGGGATGGGTGTGAGAGGAATTGAGAGATTTGGATTGACATATATACACTATAGATTGTATATATAAAATAGATAACTAATGAAAGAATACTGTATAGCACAGGGAACTTTACTTAATGAACAGCAGACACCTGAATAGGAAGGAACTTCAAAATGAAGTGGATACATGCATATGTATGGCTGATTCACTTTGCTATACAGTAGAAACTAACACAACATTGTAAAGCAACTGTGCTCCAATAAAAATTAATAAAAAAATGATTTTTCTATTTAACTCAACCTAACTCTAAATGAACAATGTATTGCTAAATAGAGTTGTGAGAGTATTTCCCCTTCATTTCGCGTTATTTCCCACTCTCTATGGCATCTCTGCAATCTCCCCATCTTGTTTTCGTGTAAATCAAACAGAAATTCTGGCTGTAGGTTCCCAATGCTCTGTCTTTAGTAAACTCTCTGGAGTCCTCCAGTGAGCTGCAGGTGGAAAGGTGGGGGGCAGCATTGAGGGGGGAGGTGGGAAATCCTGCCCTGGCACTGAGAAGTTTTGCAAGGATGGCTTCTGTTTCCTTCAGTACCGGTCAATTTGCTCCTCTTTGGGGCTTATTTATTTTTGCTTTAAGCTTGGTATAGGTTTTAGCTCTGCCCTTGTTTCCACTTCTTTGAAATCCTGTCTGCGATGTTGACTTGTGCTTCAAATTATTTGAAAAAAAAAAGTATTTTAAAGGCTTTATTTATTCACTTAAGAAAGTGCAGTTCTGTCTTTACTCATTTCTGTCATCAAAAAGATTTCTGAGGGATTGTTAGCAGCAGAACAAAGATTTATGTCTCCCTCGGGCCTCATTTGGAGATTATTCTGGATCAAAGAGGGTGCTGATAATGTGTCTGGACAAAAGTCAAAATTTTGAAGAAGGCAAAATACAGATTTTTAAATAGCTGGTCTATACCGGGTTTGGCTAGCTGCTCACTGCTTCTTTTAAAATTGTCTACTATCCATTTTTTTAAAAAAATGACTTCATAAAAGATATGCTTTCATCTTGTTATATGTAAATGAATGTAACAAATTGAATGCATTTCTCTCTCTTAACCTGCTCTACTTCACACACTAGGATAAAATAAACAGTCTTTGCACTTCCTTGAATCAAAAGCTCTATTGAATGAACCATCTTGTACAAACCATTGGCCCAATCAAATCTACTCAATACACTCCAGAAATACACTTCTGTACATTATTTGCAAGAGATAATTCTACTCTTTTGTGGTAGAAGAGTCAATTAGTTTCCCAACACATGAGTGCTTCTATGTCGGAGAAACAAAGAATGAATACAATAATTATTCTCTGGGCAGAACTTCCTTGGGTTTGTAAGGAGTCAGGGTGGATTCATGGAGGGAACATTAAATCACATGACCTGGGCTGCAGTGTGCATCTCCTAAAAACTGGATAAGAAATCCTTGGCTGGTTCATTTCCCCTTCTAAGTTTCAGTTTTCTCATCTATAAAAAGAGTGATATGAGTAAAAATCATTGCATAATACTGAAGAATTTTTTCAGCTCTATCATGAGTTGAACTAATATCATTAAGGGAAAGTGAAAGTAATGAGCATTAGTCGCTCAGTTGTGTCTGACTCTTTGCGACCCCATGGACAGTAGCTTGCCCAGATTCTCTGTCCATGGAAATTTCCAGGCAAGAATACTGGAGTGGGTTGCCATTCCCTTCTCCAGGGGATCTTCCTGACCCCAGGATAGAACTGGGTCTCCTGAGTTGCAGGCAGACTCTTCATTTAGGTCTCTAACCCATATCCTTGGGTCCACTTCTGCTCTGTCTCAATGTATACTTCACATGGAAGCCAGAGCCTGCCTGGACAGTTCTAAATAAGCTCACATCATTTATGCATCATTTAAGCTACTGGCTTCCGCTTGCACTAGGTATAAGATAAGAGCCCCTTGCTAGGTCTGCCAGGCCCTGCGTGGCTTGCCGCTGGCTAAGCCCTCAGGCTTCCTCTCCTACTACTCTCCTGAACTCCACTCCAGCTGTCCTGGACTTTCTTTCCACTCTGAAACACGCCAAGTTAATTTTCAACTCGTGGCCTTTGCACTACTCACCCCTCTGGCCGATGCTTCTATTCTATGGCCGGGGC